GACACCATCCGGTGGTAACTCCTTATGACCAATCACTGTACGAATCTCATCATGGTCCGCGTAATGAGCTATTACACGTAAGTCCTACAACAAGCCAATGCACCGTATAGTGAAATTGAAATAAAATACACGTACCTGTTCCTAGACCGAAAGATTCAGCAACAGGTAAAAGCTAAAAACCCAACTCCTGAATGCCCTCGCTTCTCATAAAGAATGGTGCCAAAATGGGGTTTTAAATCCCCACAAGCTCATCACCTCCAATTTTTTCAGCCTTTTTTTAGTTTGCTTCTCTCTCACAAAAGTTTTCTCCTGTGACCTCAATGTTGCAACCTGATTATGCCCTCTTCCACGTTTCCCGGGCTTGATTCAAACTTCATACGCCAGCAAACCAAGGGGATTCGCTGAATGATTTTCAAACCGCAAATTCCACTATCTTCCGCTCGGTCGATCAATAAAAGGGAGCAAGGAAAAATACATTGTTTTAAAAAGAAATTTTTAAAAATTTTCTTTAAAGGCAAGGAAAATATTTTATAAAAACATCACTTTTTTTTGTAGAATATTATCCTCATAAAAGTAAATGAAATTCAGTAAGCGCTACATGCTGTTCGCTTTACCGGCACCTACTGTGAAAAAGCAGAACAGTGAGGGGGAAAACAACCATTCGGGCAATCAACGAAGAGATGGTACTATGCAGTACAGCCGATAAGTACCAAAGGGAAGCATTCGGTGCAAGACTTAAGGGTCTGCCTATACTAATGTCATTCTGCAGCAGTAAGACCCCAGAACAACAAACTGGAGCTTATACGCCACGGACAAAACAAACAAAGTACAACAAATTACTTCTTCTGGATCACGACGCATGTCGGCCCATCGAATGCACGCATAGAGTATCCGCAAATGCAGCGCAATGGAATGGTACGACTGAGCTCGCAGCGTCAAATACCTGAAAATGATCGTCCCAATTTGAAATGCGATACAGCATAAATGTGAGAAAGCCTTGGAAAACCGAAGTAGTTATCTGAGTCGAAGGCCTACGTAAAGAAAGCCTTCGATTCAACGGAACAAGCGCCGAACTGCACACTCCCCTAGCAGCAGTTATTTTTGCCCGGAAAAGATTCGGATCATAAAAGACTCTCTCGCTAAGTCATAAAAACTTTCCGACCAGACAACACTGGACACGAAGGACGACATTTGTAAGTTCCCAGCGTAATATATGTAAGTTTTTAAATCTACCAATGAAAAACCAAGTAAAAGACGCGCTGAGACCCGAGAATTATTCTGCTGAGCTTGCGAAGAGCCAAATGCGCATGGGACAATTAATCTAGATGAATAACGACGAATTTGGAAAAGAAATGAGCAGAAGGAAAAGGACAACAAGACGCTTTCAATTCCACTGCAA